CGACGTCCCACCCAAGATGCTCGCGAAGGCACTCCGCTCAGCAGCAAAAGGCGCAGCACCAGGGCCGTCCGGCTGGCGGTTCGAGCATCTGCTGGGCTACCTCAACTTGTCGAAGCATGGGCTCCGGCAGGGAGAGGAGCGCATCCCCTTCCCCAAGATCATCAGACGGCTGCTGAGCGCGAAGCTCCCACAGCTTGTCACCAAGCTGCTCGGCACCGCGAACCTGATGGCACTAACGAAAGGGCACGGCAAGGTGCGGCCGGTGGCGGTGGGGGATGCAGTGCGGCGATGGGTGACGAGAGCAGTGTGCATGCAGCACAAAAACAAGATGGCCGCCTACTTCGCCCCTCTCCAGTGCGCAGTCGGCACCCCAGCAGGCAACGAGAAGCTCTTCAAGGCCGCCGAGACCTTCATTCAGAGCCGGAGGGAGGGCGAGAAGCGACTGCTTATGGGGCTGGATTGCACGAACGCCTTCAACGAGGTGGACCGTCAGGCGATCGTCAACGAGCTCGCCAGCCAGTTCCCTGAGCTCTTTCACTTCCTCTGGGAGTTCTATGGAGAGCCGGCGGAGCTGTGGTATCGACTCGCAGACGGCAGAGTGAGGACCATTTTGAGCCAGCAAGGCACTCAGCAAGGAGACCCGGCCGGCCCCTTCCTCTTCTGTCTGGCCCTCCAGCCAGTACTCAAGGCCATCCGAGCCAGCTTTCCACGCGCCCTCATACAAGCCTTCATGGACGACATCACACCGCGGGCCGACGAGAGTGAGGCAGACGGGGTGGTGGACAAGGCGGAGGAAGAGCTGCAGACTATCAGCCTCAAGCTGGCCAGGAAGAGCAAGGCGTACGGCCCCCACTGGACGGACAGCGAGCCACCACCGGACGACCTGCTGCCTGGCTTTGAGAGGGAGGGGCTCTCGGATGAGGGCATTGACATTCTGGGTGGAGCAACAGGGACGGACGGCTATGTCGCTAAGAAGCTGCAGAGCGTCCTCGACTCCCACCGCCCCCTCATCAAACGACTCAAGGCGTTCGCACACGAGCAGCGGCAAGACTCATCGCTCCTCTTCCGCTCCTGCGCAGTCCCACGGCTGTATTACTGGCTTCGTCTCCTTCCCCAGCGCCCTTCAACCACCGAGGTCACGGCGCTACTGAGAGATGAGGAGGTCATGAATGCAACCATCGCCATCCACGGGCTGGGAGAGGAGGACACCACCGAGCCGCAGCGACGACAGATGGCGCTACCAGTGAGAGAGGGGGAAATGGGCATTACGGCGGCGAGCGCCATCCTGCCGGCGGCATATCTCGGCTGCACCGCTGTGACGCTGCCATACGTGTGGAGACACTACCAGCT